TTATGATCTTGTGCAACAAACTTCGCGAAATTTGTGGAAAACCCATAGAGAGTTCTGCTATTGTGAACTTTTGAGTTTTACGGACATCAGCATCAACTTTTTCAACAAGTTAGGCAGTCACAATGCTGGGTCTTCCACTTCCCTCTTCGTCATGAACGTTAGTCCGGCCATTTTTAAATTTGATGACCCACTGACGAACTCCACCTTCAGTAATAATGTTTTCCCCATAAACTTCACAAAGTTGCTGATAGATTTCTATCGGTTTACAGTTTTTTGCAGTCAAAAACCTTTTAACTGCACGCACTTCACGGTTCAAGCATTTTTAATTAACAGAGACATTTGAAAGTGTCACAGTAACTCAACGGAGTGCAACAGAAACCTCTTACTAGCACGGCTAGATGCCGACTGAGCTGCATGACGAACTTACACCAAGATGGTCGCGCTAGCCCCGCCCTTAGCGGATACAGACAAAATCGTAACAAAATCGTAATCTACTTTCTGGATAGCCCTCGTATCTAGCAAAAATTAATCTTTCTTGTATACTGCTCAACTCACTGTTATACCAAGAATTATAATTTTTTTTGTTTTTTTTTTAAATTTGTATTACAGTACCTACATTAGAAAAATAACAAATGTTATTTTTTAAAACTTTGAAAAACATTCTAAAAATGTTTTCTGCTGTTGGATTTATACAATTAAGCACATTTGTCCAATCATAAGTACCAAGCCTATCCACTAACACACCTACCGAATCTCTTGGCAAAATTACTTTAGAAAAGGAGCAGCATATTGATTAACGCAATTTTTCCAAATTCAAAATTATATTTAATAGCAGACCACCAATGAGGGTCAACTCAAAAAATTATGCCAACTTCTATTTTACTCCTGGTATATTCTATGGGGGAAATTTAATAGCATAATACAGGTGGAAAATAAGGGCTAAACTATATCATACATACGGGGGCTATCCAGAAAGTAGATTACATTTTTGTCTGTATCCGCGAAGGGCGGGGCTAGCGCGGCAATTTTGGTGTCAGTTCGCTATGCAGCTCAGTCGGCATCTAGCCGTGCTAGTGCTCTAGAGGTTTCTGCTGTACTCCGTTGAGTTACTGTGACAGTTTAAAATGTCTGTGTTAATTGAAAATGCCGCGAACTGTGAAGTGTGTGCAGTTATAAGGTTCACTGACTGCAAAAAAAACTGCAAAACTACAAAAATCTGCAAAAAAATTGCAAAAAATTACAAAACTAATATTAAATCTATTGTCAACTTTGTGAAGTTTATGGGGAAAACATTATTACTGAAGGTGAAGTGCCTCAATGGGTCATAAAATTTAAAAATGGCCGAACTAACGTTCACGACAAAGAGCGAAGTGGAAGACCCAGCATTGTGACTCCTGAACTTGTCAAAAAAGTCGATGCCGAAGTACGTTAAACAGAACTCTCTATGGGTTTTCTTCAAATTTCACGAAGTTTGTTGCACGAGATCATAACCAAAAAGCTTGGTTACCACAAGTTTTGTGCAAGATGGGTACCGAAAATCTTGACAGAGAGTCACAAAAATCAGCGAATCGCTGCAGCACTAACGTTTCTGGACGCTTACGATAAAGATGGTGACTCACTACTCGATTGCATCGTTATGGGTGATGAAACATGGGTCAAACATGTGATTTGCGAGACGAAATTGCAGTCAATGCAGTGGGGGCACACAAATTACCCACAACCCAAGAAATCCATGCAAACGATGTCGGCTAGGAAGGTGATGGCATCTGTCTTATGGGATAGGGAAGGTGTAATTTTTGTGGACTTCCTGGAAAGAGGCACTACAATAAACTCTCAAAGGTATTGCCAAACTCTGCAAAAATCTTAGAAGAGCGATAAAAAACAAGCACAGGGGAAAGTTAAGCTCAAAGATCCTGTTGATTCACGACAATGCCCGGCCCCACATGGCAAATGTCACTTGCGAAGTTCTTGAATCTTTTAAGTGGGAGTTGTTCCCCCATCCGCCGTACAGTCCTGACCTGGCACCGATTGACTTTCACTTATTCCCAGGAATGAAGAAGTGGCTGGCTATGCAGCGTTTTGATAATGACGCACAGCTACAAGAAGAGGTAATCAAGTGGTTGAAGACCCAGGCGGCCGAATTCTACAACGAAGGAATTTCTAAGCTCGTTAGTCGCTATGACAAGTGCCTTAATTTGAAAGGTGATTATATTGAAAAGTAGAATTTAAGTGTGGCTTTCATTTGTATATAATAAAATATTTTTCCAAAACTGTGTTTATTCTTAATTCCAAAACATAATCTACTTTCTGGATAGCCCCCTGGATATACCTTTAAATATGGTAACTAGGGGTCTGCGGTGCACCGAAAAAGTCGGTACGGTACGGTACAAGCTTAATTACCGTCATCGGTTCGGTACAGAATTTTACACGGTACAAATTCGGTTTGGTACAGCCTAATTAAAATAAGAAATTACTTTTAGTTTACTATCGTAGTCAACGACAGTTGGTTCACATAAAAGTCTTATCAGATGTTTGTTTACGATCTTCATAATTTATTACTAGGGTGATGATGTAATAAAAACCCCATTATCAGTTGCAAATCCATTAACATTTTATCACGACAATCATTGTTGTATTCAAGTACTTCCAAGAACTGTTGAGTTTTATCACTTTATTTCTTTACGACTTTCTCCAATTCTATTTTATCATAAAAATAATAGTTTTATGATGACGCTGGCCATTGCCTACTGCCATAAAACTGTTTATGGCTACACATTAAACTTGTAACTAATCTACAATCTTATTTTATAAGTTAAAATATTTGTTATAGATATTTTATCTTTCTATTGACAACCCACAAGCATAGTTGTTGTTGTTTGCATAATTTTTGTTTTCGTTATTCAAGCCTACTCGGTCTCAAATTATGTCATTACATGTTCTGTATCTTGTCTTTTATTGTTAGATGTGGCTTTTTAAGGCTTAAAATGTTTTTTAGTTTCCTATATTTTTGTGTTGTGTTGAAGGTACTTTATGCAATCTAAATCTTATGAACTAGATAGTGATTTTGCTACCCTCATTGTAACCTAATCAATTTATATATAGGCCCTCCTAAATAATTAGGTCTAGGCCTGGGTCTTTTGATTCTTTGGAAGAGCTTTAAAATAAGAAATTGGGTTGAGCCTAAGATAAACTAATGATTGATTTGATTGATATTGTGGATGTTAACTTTATAAATGAAAAGACAATAATCTTACTCTGTGATAATCCAAATTTTAGTTTCAGAAAAAAACTTTTCAAGAGTTGTATCCATCTTATAGTTTTGAAGCTGATACAAAAATATGCTCTTTGCCATTACTTCATCATAACCTCTAGTGAACAGCTGGCAACTACACTGTCATCGTACTGAATGCTTTTAGGCCTATATGTTTAAAAAAAAATTTAAAACAACTAGACATTGTGTTGGTTGGAAATAATTGACCAGTTGTGTTAAATTATCTTGTCAATAAATGTTTCAAACATGTTTGTTCCTAAAAACTCTTATCATATTTTTAAAACCACTTTTATCATGGCTATTCAAAGTATATCAGAGTAAAATAGGTAAAGCCTTTATCTTAACTGTGATTTTTCTTGACACAATCCTCGTAGTAGTAAAAGGTTTTGTTTTAATAATGTGTTAGTAATTGTTGTTAGAAAACCATGAATGTAGGATACTATCCATTTTCATAGTTATGTCAATGTATTAAAGTTAAAAATAATGGTTTAAATACAGTTCTGAGCAGAAAACCGCAAAAATACGGGTAGCCGCGTACCGTACCGATTTTGTACCGAGAACCGAGGTACAAAATATTGTACTGTACCGAACCGTACCGACCTTAAATTTTCTGTACCGCAGACCCCTAATGGTAACCCAAGGAAATATAATCCGATGTCAATGAAATTAGGATCAAACACATGAATTAACATCCATTTAGATGGTTTCGCAAACCAGCCCGAGGTAACCCATGGAAGGGTGGTAGTATGTCCAACAATTTTTTTTAGTCTTTAATGAAGAATTCAAAAATATTTTTTGCCAATCAAGTCCCTTATCTGTACAATATTCCATGTGTTTTGATTCATCAAGTTTTGAATGCTAAATACAGTCTATTGTCTCCTATGGAATACCCAAGGAGAATTTCATTAATTGCTGAAGGCTATGTTTATAAATATATCCTTATAAATTTCGGCAAAATCATTTGAAATTCACCTAACATAAATTTCTGAAGGTTTGCTGCATCGATTATGTTTTCAGACCAAGTTTGTGTTTTAGTATCCTATGTATTAATAGGCAAGCATGTTTTTCGAAAACCTTTTTCTCAGCTCGCGTGCATCGCAGAAAAAATCCATGCATGCTGTTAGAAAGATATTTTCCTTTAGATGTGCAGAATATCTTTATAAAAAAAAATAGGCAAAAAAATAAGCACAAAAAATTATTAAAAATTAAAAAGTGCATGGGCCTTATGGGTTGCCATGCTGGTGATGAAATAAAAACTACATATAAACACAAAATCAAAACAAATGGACAACATTTCAATCACATGTTTTATTGCGTTGAAAATAGATCGTGGGTTAAAAATAGAGATAATTGTCCATAACATATTTTTGGTTGAGTTTTCAACCACTGGACGACCTCTAGTTTTATTTATATTGAACACATGTGTATAAATACTACTATGTACAAATGCATTTAACTGATTTACAAAAGCTCAAAAATTAATTATTATAAAACTTTTATCTACTATATGTATTTTTTATTTTTTATTTCCCTGCTACACTGAAGGTGGATTCTTTTAACTATCTTGACTCCCTGAGTAAATACAGATTTGAACAAGTATTTTTGGATATTCAATAATAAATTCAACTGGCTTCTATGTTAACCTCCTTATTTCTAATTTTAAAAATTTGTTAAAATTCTTAGAATGTTTGAAGGCCAAAAATTTTACCAAAAAATCTTTTTTTTTCAGATTTAGGTACAAAGATGAATATGAAAAGTTCAAACTTGTATTGAGTATCATTGGATTTGTTCTATCCGTTATCAATTTATGTACAAATATCAGGTGAGTGTAATTATTATTTATTACCTCTTATTCACATGCACGGGTACCATATGCTAATCACTAAGCTAGCAGCGCAGAAACGAGTAATTTCATTTGTTTCTATGTCTAGTTTCTATATGATTAAATGTTATTTAAAAGATGCTATCTATATTTGGAATGAGTTATAATTTTAGTTTATTATATTCCTATTTCAGTCTTGATTCCATGAAAAGGCTCTTGATTCAAAATACAATATAATAAACCTATACAAAATAGAAACTAAGACTACCCTATAAAAATCATGGTTTCCTATTAATTTCACTTTAATTTTAATGACAATAACCAACTTAAACCTTTTAAGAACAAATGAAGGGACCCGTGCGCTAATTGCGCATTTTAATGAAATTTAAAACTTGTTTCCAAGGCAAAACAAATAACATAATACCTTTAAAACATTATTTTTGTTTGTATCTACTAATGTTGTTCTTGTAACTAGTAATTTACATTAATTTAATTTTTATTGTAAATCTATACAATCAAGAATGATAAAGAGTGATTTACCTTCCTCAATCAGGTTACAACCATCACTGAAAGTAGCTTAGGCTATTTAAAATCCATTTTCATAAACTGTTTTGTCTCTTGTTTACCATCTCACTGTGGTTAAACATTCAACTTAAGGATCATCTGTTGTTAAATTACAAGTCACATTTAAACCTGTTACTAGGTGGCGTTCGCAGAGGCATCCACAAAATTGAGCGTAGTCATCAAGGGTTTATATTATATTGTTTTGGTCATACTGCAGTAATAACAGTCGTTTTTAATGCATGCGTTGCGGGTCTAAAGTAGCATTTTTACTCTTTATGAAGTAAAAATAGTTTTTATCCTCTATGGAGTAAAAATCAGCTGTTGTCAACTCAGTTGTAAATTACTATTATAAACGATTTCATGTATCGAAATATGTATCGATTCGTGCTTCATAATTATTTTAACCTACAGTCTACAGTCTCTTCCCATAGTGTTTTAGCATTGCAGATACATTAATCCATTCCCACACTCAACACGCTCACCTTTACTACTTCCTTCACCACCCCCTACGTCGTGGACCTATTTCCCTCTCTTCCCATAGCATTTTAGGATTGCAGATACATTAATGTAATTGCTAAAGACAGTTCCCACACTCTGCACTGCAAGCCTTACTACTTCCTTCACCATTTCCTACGTCATAGACTTGTTTCCTTCCCTTCTCATAGCATTTTTGGATTAAAGATACATCAATCTAACTGCCATAGACGGTTTTCACACTATGGTCATACTTAACTACTTTCTAAGCCATTTCCTACATCGTGGACCTGTTTTCATCACTTTCCATAGCAATTTAGTATTTTAGATACATTAATATAATTGCCACAAACATTCCCCACACTTCGCACTGCTAGCCTTTACTACTTCTTTCACCATTTTCTATGTCGTGGGGATGCTTCCATCCCTTCTCATAGCATTTCAGCATTGCAGATACATTATTCTAACCGCTACAAACGGTTTCCAGTTCCCACACTCCACACTGCTCACCTTACTACTTCCTTCACCTCTTCTTACGTCGCGGACATGTTTCCCTCTCTTCCCATAGAATTTTAAGATTGTAGATACCTTAATTTAATCGTCATAAACAGTTCCCACACTCCGGACAGCTCGCCTTGACTACTTCCTTCATCACTTCCTACGTCGCGGACCCGTTTTCCTCCCTTCCCATGGCATTTTATGATTGCAGATACCTTAATTTAATCGTCATAAACAGTTCCTACACTCCGGACTGCTCGCATATACTACTACCTTCACCACTTCCTACGTCACGGACCTGTTTACCTCCCTTCCCATAGCATTTTATGATTGCAGATACATTAATCTAATCGTCATAAACAGTTCCAACACTCGGGACTACTCGCCTTTACTACTACCATCGCCAATTCCTACGCCACGGACCTGTTTCCCTCCCTTTCCATAGCATTTTATGATTGCAGATACCTTAATCTAATCGTCAAAAACAGTTCCCACACTCCAGACAGCTCGCCTTGACTACTTCCTTCATCACTTCCTACGTCGCGGACCCGATTTCCTCCCTTCCCATAGCATTTTATGTTTGTTGATACCTTAATCTAATCGTCATGAACAGTTCCCACATTCCAGACTGCTCGCCTTTACTACTTCCATCACCACTTCCTACGTCACGGACCTGTTTACCTCCCTTCCCATAGCATTTAAGGATTGCAGATACCTTGATCTAATCGTCATAAACAGTTCCCACACTCCGGACTGCTCGCCTTTACTACTTCCTTCACCACTTCCTACGCCACGGACCTGTTTCCCTCCCTTTCCTTAGCATTTTATGATTGCAGATACCTTAATCTAATCGTCATAAACAGTTCCACACTCCGGACAGCTCGCATATACTACTTCCTTCATCATTCCTACGTTGCGGACCCGTTTTCCTCCCTTCCCATAGCATTTTATGTTTGTTGATATCTTAATCTAATCGTCATGAACAGTTCCCACACTCCAGACTGTTCGCCTTTACTACTTTCTTCACCACTTCCTACGTCACGGACCCGTTTACCTCCCTTCCCATAGCATTTTAGGATTGAAGATACCTTGATCTAATCGTCATAAAAAGTTCCCACACTCCGGACAGCTTGCCTTGACTACTTCCTTCACCACTTCCAACGTCGCGGACCTGTTAGCCTCCCTTCCCATAGCATTTTATGATTGCAGATACCTTATCCTAATCGTCATAAACAGTTCCCACACCCCGGACTGCTCGCCTTTACTACTTCCTTCACCACTCATCCCTACGTCGCGGACCTGTTAGCCTCCCTTCCCATAGCATCATAGGATTGCAAATACCTTAATCTAATGGTCATAAACAGTTCCCACACTCCGGACAGCTCAACTTGACTACTTCCTTCATCACTTCCTACGTCGCGGACCCGTTTTCCTCCCTTCCCTTATAGTTTTTGGAATGCAGATACCTAAATCTAATCGTCATAAACAGTTTTCACACTCCAGACTGCTTACCTTTAGTACTTCCTTTAGCACTTCCTACGTCACGGACCTCAAGCTAGTGTCGTCATTTGATTATATTTATGATTCATACCGTTTCTGTTCTAATATCTGTGGAATAATGCTATGAACAATGAAATAGCTGTCTTTATCTACTGCATTCAAAAGTCAACAGCTGATCATATGTCTTTGTTTATGTGTCAAATACTGCTTCCATAAGGATTACATTGAACCCAGTGGGGCGGATTCCTGAGAGTTATTTTTAACGCCATATAGATGTTGGCACTCACCGATATGGTCTTTATCACCATCCAAAATTTTAAAACGATTGATCCAGCCGTCTAGGAGGAGTTTGCGTATTACGAAATGCATTAAAGTCAACGTATAAGAGCTTCGCTTGCTCCGCTCAGTTAAGAAAGTTATTTGGCATTATAATTTTTTTTTTAAATAACCTCTAGAAATAAACCAGAATAGAATGTTTTTATCAATTGGGAAAATCTTTAGAGCAGAAAATAAATTTGCTTACAATAGAATCTCAAATGAATATTGACTTGGAATAGTTTTAAATATTTTCTAGCTGTACATTAAATGTACCTATCTTAATTTTTAAACTATTTTCAATTTTTTTTAGTATTTTTTTTCATAGAACCTAACACTTCTGTTAGGTCAAGTTCATAAACTTAACTTTATATCATTCTGCCTACAAACATGTTTATGCAATTTACTAAAAATGCTTTCTTACCGCTTGTTGTCTGCTGTAGCGGAACAAAAAATGGCCGGCCTTTACCATGAGTTGCAAAAATACAGATATATGATTTACATATTATATACTTACTCCATTGCTTGGGATTTCATACAGGATGAAAACATATTTAATTTATAAACAATAGAAATCAAATCTAATAATATTTTTTCCACTCAAGCCGTCCCAGGAGAGCCTCTCCCATCAGGCCTGACCAATGACCTAGCACATGTCAGACCTAGGTTTCTAACATTTTGTTGAGTAAATTAATACTTAGATGTAGTGTGTTCTGTATGTGGTAGTTTGGTTGTGTGACACTTGTGTTTGATACATCAGACTTTAGAGCACAAAGAGTAAAAAATTATACTTTTGTTTTGGAAAGCCTTACAATTTTCAATAATGATACCTATTTTTATCTTTCAGAGTGCTAGAGTTGAGTTTCATGTTTCTTCTTGTCTGGTACTATTGCACACTAACTATCCGGGAGAGCATTCTTAAAGTTAATGGCTCCAGGATAAAAGGTTGGTGGAGGTAAGTCTGCATACTGTATATATTTTTGGTAGAATATAGACGAGTCAATTAGTGTTGGTAGGTATGGCATACTTCTCCTCTTTAGTGTTGAGGTCAATTTTGTGGAAACGGCCTCAAAATAATAGAAATGTAAATGGTAGGCAGTTAACCCTCCAGTACACGCGCGGCTAATAGTAACACCAGTACACACACGCGGATTGACAGTCCACGTATACTTCTTACTGGAAACGCTCTTTTATATAGGCCTACCTAAAAAAGTTCATATTGCATCAAAATTTTAAATAATCCAAATATAGGTAAATAGATATAGATAAATTTCAAAATAATTACAAATATTTCAAATTGAAAATGTTCTCTTAAAAAACCAATCATTCAATCAGTGGCCTGTTCTTCATCCTCTTTAAACATGACGCGCCTAACTTTACACCCTCGTAGCTCAGGGCCAACTGACGCTAATATGGTCAAAACACCGCCATTGTCCTTGGAAAGGTGGTGGTGGAAGGTAGGTCATGTCATTTCGCTTGCGGATTCACTTTTATTGGCGCGCTTTTTCAAATGTGCGGACTCAAGCAGAGCATGTACTGGAGGGTTAAGTGTTGTCTGCTACTTCTATCCTACCATTGTCCTTTTCTACAATAACTTTTAGCTTGTTAAAATGACATATATTCAAGTTGTGTCAATATCAGCAGAATTTGTCCTATAACAAAAGCTGGCAATTTGAAATCCTACCTTTAGCTAAAGGACCCCTAACATGTAAACGATTACCTACAAAATATTTATCTTTACTACTGAAGACAGACCTTGGAAAAACATACTATACAAGCTTTGAATTCAAATTAATCTTAACATTTTTAAGACCTATTACATCAGTTTGTCAAATTATACAGGGAGTTTTGAAACTCTCTCCTGAAACTCCGTGTTCCTCAGGTCAAAAAAAAAAAAAAAATCATTAACATAAAATGCCCTATTTTGCTTCGTTTTCTGTTTGTCAGTGCGTATGTATTTTTTAAATAACTTCACTTTGGAACCACTAGAGGTGCCAACTTCAAACTTGGTATGTGTATGATGACTAATAGTGCAGTAAAAATATGAGAAAAATTCCATAATCCTAAAAAAAAATTAGCACAACCGGGGAGTCTGGTACAGATGTTGGGTGTACCTTCCTTTTGAACATACTAAAAGTCACCTAAAATTGAAGTTGTGCTACGGCCGCCATATTGGAAAATGGCGGCATATTTCTGTATTTTTCACTATAGTGACTTTATTATTAGAGATAAAGGAAAAAACTAAATATACAAAATGTAGTCCATCTAAAAATACAGATTTTTTTGTATTTATCATCTTTCTCTAAACCCAACGGCTTTTGAGTTATTTGTGATTAAGTAGGCCTATATTTAGTTTTTTCTATTTATCAAAAATAGGTGAAACACATGGAAATTGACCGTTACTTTCAAGGATAATGATAATTTATCCCATTTAGTTAAATAGTGTGATACTATAAAATCTTAATATTTAAGCTTATTTTATGAGTAAAACAACTCCGCCTCAGCAAACCTGCAGACTCAGCAAATTTCCATTTGATTGGATGTTTTATTAATTGTATTTAAATAAAATTAGATTCAACAGGTACCTAGGTTTGCTGCTACATGTAGGTTATTATGGTGTGTGTTTTTTTTAGTAAAATATCAGTAATTTAGTATAAAATAACTAATTTTCCAAGTTTGATCATAATAAATCTATAAACAAACAAACTACAACAGTTAACTAATTCATAAGAATAGCATGGTAGTTTAAGATTTACATTTACAAATTTAAACATGCAAATTTTGGTTATGTTTACTAAAAATATGGCGATTATTCGTCACGATTGGAATACTAACCGAAGGGGTTTTCAAAAGGAGATGAAGCAAGTTATTTAAGTACTGTAATATTAACTCGTACCAAGTATCGGAAATATTGTATGCAGTGAGGTAATAAACCATATTTTGTAAAGTAATAGTCTTATTAATATTTTATACTCATTTTTACCCATTTAATAAATTAACATTTTAATATTTTGATGGCACTACCACTATCACTCTGATATCAACTAAGTGGGATGAATAATTGTCGTAAACCTTGAAAGTAACCGTCGATTGTGATGGGTTTCACAGATTTTTGATAAATAAAACTAACTATACTTAATTTTCAAACTATACTATACCATACTTAATTAGTCACCAACATGAACTAGACACGAAAAACAGCCTTCCAAATTTACAATGGGATGTCAAGTATAGTTAGTTAGTGTGGTGTTGCCATCAAAATACTAAAATGTTAACTATTAAACGGGTAAAACATGAGGATAAAATATTAATATGACTATTGCGTACTTTACAAATTATGGTAGATTACCTCACTGCATACAATATTTTCGGTGCTTGGTACGAATTAATATTACTTTAATAACAGGCTCCATCTCCTTTTGAAAACCCATTTGGTTAATATTCTAATCGTGACGAATAATCACCATCTTTTTAGTAAACACAACCAAAATTTGTATATTAAAAATTGTAAATTTAAAACTCCCATGCTATTCTTATGAATTAGTTAACTGTTGTAGTTTGCTTGTTGATAGATATATTATGATCAAACTTGGAAAATTAGTTATTTATACTAAATTATTGATATTTAAAAAAAACACACTATAATAACCTACCTGTAGCAGCAAACCTAGGTACCTGTTGAACCTAATTTTATTTATATACATTTAATAAAACATCCAATCAAATGGAAATTTGCTGAGTCTGCAGGTTTGCTGTGGCGGAGTTGTTTTACTCATAAAATAAGCTTAAATTTTAAGATTTTATAGTATCACACTATTTAACTAAATGGGATAAATTATCATAATCCTTGAAAGTAACGGTCAATTTCCATGTGTTTCACCTATTTTTGATAAATAGAAAAAACTAAATATAGGCCTACTTAATAACAAATAACTCAAAAACCGTTGGGTTTAGAGAAAGATAGTAAATACAAAAAATGTGTATTTTTAGATGACCTACATTTTGTATATTTAGCTTTTTCCTGAAACTCTAATAATAAAGTCACAATAGTGAAAAATACAGAAATATGCCGCCATTTTCCATTATGGCGGCCGTAGCACAGCTTCAATTTTAGGGGACTTTTAGTATGTTCAAAAGGAAGGTACACTCAACATCTGTACCAAATTCCCCGGTTGTGCTAATTTTTTTTGGGTCAAAAAATATTTTTATTGTACTATAATAGGAACTTTTTTTTTGCAAAGTATCAAGATATTTCTACTTTGTATAGTTTTATAATGGCAACCATTTTAATTTTTCATAGGCTTAATTATTTAAAAACCACACGATTTATAAAAAAATTACAAATAACAAAAAGGGTGGGAATTTAATTCACTTTACAGAGATGTACAGTTGTTATAGGGTCATAACATATACTGATGTAAGGGAAATGTTTATTAAATTTAAATTATTTTAATTCACAGAATATATAATGTACATATAATATCATGATCAATGGCTAACTAGTTTCACTATATTACACTTCCCTTGTTGGCAGAACTGGAGAGCAGCTGTTAATTAACTAAAGTCATTTTTGTAATGAGCTGTTTCTTCAATTCTTTCTTAGTTGGCTGATTCCCTTAAAAATTGTACAAAGTCGTGAAAATACGAGTTCAAGCATTAGGCCTACTGTACTTGAAACAGTCATAGTCCGTAGGAACTGGGAATCACAGCCTATTTAAGCCAGTCAGATCATAGGAATTTTACCAAGTAAGACTGTTGCCTTATTTAATTACTGATACCGGTATAGTAATATCGTCATTTATAAGGAAGATTATAAAGGATTTCCATTATTTAGAAGAATCAAATTATAATTTCTTATTACTATGCATTGGAGTAATTTGTTCAGGATCCTACCATCTGAGGGAAATCACCAAATGATAGGTTATCACAGCAAACACCATCTTAGCTGTTAGCTTGGTGTTGAAGAATAATAATTCTAATTCAAATCTTGCCTACCTACTCTCCGGTGATTGGCCTATACAGGGGTACTGGGTAGTGTATAAACAAAAATAACAAAGAGAAGAATAAATAAGTGAAAACTAAATATTTGGGCAAATTCAATAAATTAACAGGTATTATCCCTATAAAAACTGTACATTTCTGTAAAGTGAATTAAATTTAAATCCTTTTTGTAGCTTGTCACTTCTGTATAAATCTGATGATTTTTGAGTTATTAAGCTTTTAAAAATGAAAATGTCCACCATTTTTTAATTATACAAAGTAGAAATTTGATACTTAGCAAAAGAATAGTACCTATTAGTGATCATACACGTACTAAGTTTGAAGTTGGATACCTTATCTCGCTTTGTTTTCTGTCTGTCGTTGTGTATGTATTTTTTCCTAGCTTCCCATAACTTTGGAATCACTTAAGATACCAACTTCAAACTTAGTATGTGTATGATGACTAATAAATAGGTACTATTCTTTTGCTTTATGTTAGTCAAAACTTTAAACTATCCTAAAACTACCACAAATTCCTATGGTTTACACATATGCGGTCCAGACTACATCAATATCTTAGTTTCTACTATTGCCATGTGTAACCTAATAGTTATTGATATTTCACAGACTACACCACTTCATCTCTACAGCTGTATCAGCAGTGCTTCTAATCTGGCCAAACTCTTCCTGTTGGTATGAATTTCGGCCACAATTCATGTTCTTCAATGTTTATATCAGTAAGTAGGATTTTCAAGCAGTGGTAATTCCAGAAATTATAGAAATAGGCTTATCATTTCATACTAATATTATAAATGAGAAAGTTTGTGTGTTTGTTTGTTTGTTTGAAGTTCAGGTCGTATTGGGTTAAAATTTTGGTATCATGATAGCTCACATTCCCGATTAACATAAAGACATATTCTTCTTATCTCATAAATCGGACTCCACACCAGTGGCTCTAGAGTTTCTTATGTTAACCTTATGTTATTCATATTTAAAAGGAATTAAAAAATTTTACCAGCTGTTTTAACTGCACAAATTAGTTCTACGATATTCAATAACGTTAAAAGGTTATAAGATTTACCAACAGGGTGCAGCGCTATTTACTCTTTTTGCATTTATGACAACAGCTACTTTGAACCAAGCAGCAACAAAAAGCTGTTTAAGCTGTGAGAACTTTACTTTTAGCGAATTTCCCATCTATTCTATATATAATTCAGTTTTAAAAATCTTTGTACAACTAAATCTAGAGTTCTACTGGACCAATTTTATTAATTAATGGGTCGTTGGAAAGCTTAATTCGTGTAGATTTGCAAATAATTATGAAAGTTTGTTTTTGATTTGGTGAAAAATTTCAAAAAAACATGTTTTCCATAAGAAATACATTGAAAACGGTGTTTTTCACACTTTTTATTTGGGTGAGACTTTTGGCTGCCTTTTTTAGTGTTTCCAAGAAGTGTATACTTACTTACTTACTTGATACTTGGTGACCTCCCACTGGTAGCGCAGCTGCGCCGTTGTCGTCAGTTTTTTTGGCCTATTTTTCTTTTAGATATTCTTCAACAGAATAATATGGCCTCTTCAATAAATATTCTTTAAATTTCCTCTTGCATTCATCTTGATCTTCAATGTTTTTGATATTTAGAGGGATCAAGTTGTAGATTAAGCTTGATAAAAACTTTGGTCCGTCCTTTACTAAACTTGAGTTGACTTGATTTAGATGAATGTTGTTTTTTTGCCTTGTTGAGTAGTTGTGTATTGTATTGTTTTGTGGAAATGTGTTCGGGTTCTTCTTAACTATTAGGGCAGATTCCAAAATAAATATTGCTGGCACCGTAAGGACTTTTGCTTCAACAAAAAGGGTTTTACAATGGGCAAGGTATGGAGCATTATCAATTATTCTTTTATTCTTTTTTGAAGAAGTAGTATTCTGCTTGCGAGAATACTGTTTCCCCAGAATAAGATTCCGTAGTTGACAATACTTTGAAAGCAACCAAAGTAAATTTTCATAGTATGGTATCAATTTGTTGGAAATTTTAATCTCTTTCAGAATACCACCTTCCACTTTAGACAATTTCCTCACCATTTAAAAGTTACTAGAGAAACCCGTCGAAATCGACGGTTACTTTCAAGGCTTACGTTAATTCATCTAACTGCGATAAATTGGGTGAAATATGCATATTTTGAGCATTTAGCATTGTTTAAAGAGTAATAAGTGTAAAAACAATGATGATATTACAGTAGAACGTCGATTATCCGAATTAATTGGGGATTGGGGTTGTTCGGATAACTGATTTTTCGGATAATCGGTCATTGACGGGAAAAATACGGGGAACGGGAAATGACGGGAAGGGATAGCGGCCGGCGGCGATTTGCCGATTTCACGTCTGTGGATACTGTACAATAATATAAATTTGATTAATTATAGAGATGTGCGAGTACTTGAGATTTCGAGTTCGAGTCGAGTACGGCCTTGAAACTCAAGCTTATTTTTTTACTCGGCAGTTTCGAGTTGAGTTTGGTTTAAATTGGTAAAAAATCAATATTTGGTCAAATGTAACTTGTGTTTACATGAAATACTGGATAATATTTACTACTGTAGATTCTACAGTAATACAAATATTTTTACAGTGTAGAAATAAGCAAGAGGTAGTTGTCCTAACCTATTTTTTTAGCTGTTACAACAGAATAGGTCAACTCAAAGCAGTCGCCGGCGACTGACTGGCAATGAAAAACAATAGAAGGGAGGGAGGGGTTGTGCAATGACCTCGAAGTGAGCGGGCGTAACAACAGTGAATGAAGTAGGGGTTTGGGGGGAAGGGGGAGGGTCAGACCTTTGAGCTATATTTAGACTTTCACCACTTAGCAGCCGTGCAGTGGCGTAGCGCTACGGCCAGTCGTGATTGCCGCGCGATTTTATTGATTTTTGCTTCTTTCTTCCTTTCGGTTAACCGACGTTTCGGATGACCGGGCTTCGGATAATCGACGTTCTACTGTAATTGCGTTAGTTGCCAAATTTGGTTGATCATTCAATGAATAAAATATTCCCCATACCGTACGTCATCAGTGTTATTATTAGTATGTTATATGGTATCTCTTCCTTTGGAAGAACCTTTAAATAGTATTAAAATCGTATTGGTGGATCTTTAGTAGTCAAACACTTCCGTGATTTTATCAGTGTAATATGATTTTATTTCAAAAGAAAATATTTTTTTGGGAAGACATATTCTAACTTCAAAGGGAGGTAGGCCTATATCCGTTACAGTGTAAGTTTGATTTTTCCTTCGCCACGTCGCGTCAGTTCATTTCGTACTTCTGTGCCAATGAATGAACCCTCTAGCATAGTTTTGAGAAATTGATTGTGGGGTTACTTTTAAAGCTGGAAGTCCTTGACATGGGGGATGTCAGTTAGTTGTCTCAGCATTATCAATAACATAAAGTTGTCAATATAATCTCTCTACGGAATGTTAGGTGTAGTGGAATACTGAAGTGAAATTGGCTTTTATTCTTGAACTGTTAGGGGCCTCTTAGTTCATATGGTCTTGCGGATTCATTGGCAACAAATAATACAAATGACATAGCAATGGGACATTTCCAAAAAGCAAAAATACTGTAAATTGGCTGTTACGTATATATTGACGTTTACATATTGTTAATCAACGTATCTTATAAAGGATTATGTGATCTAGTTTAAAAGGATATTTCTGTCATGACAGTAGCTGCTTAAGTAGTATTTTTTCTTTGTACCATATTTTACAGCCAAAATGTCGTGTTATTTTCAATAATGTTACCAACCCAGTGCCAAAGTTCGTAATATAGGCAGGTGCAAATAATTTGCCAAGATGGGTACCATTTTAGGGAAGGTTTCTATGTTTGGATTTTATTAGACACGATAAGAGCAGATATTTCTACATAAATATTTTATATGTGTAGAATAATATGATAAAATGTAGGCAAAAGTGGTGAAAAAGGCAGACACCAACCCGTACAATAGATATAAGATAGTTCAATAATAAATAATTTAAGACTTGCTGTGATAAAAGGATTTTCCACTGATTTCGTAATGGAACGTTATATTGCAAAACATGACATGATAAAGAAGAAAATCAATTTTAAAATCAGAAAAACACATTGCAAATACTTATTTGGTAGAATTCAGTAACTCCCAATAAATGTGTGTTGTTTGAAATACAATTAAAAAAATGAACAGCTGTTTCATTAAAAAGTATTATTCACATGGCCAAAATGTAAACAACTCTGTGAAGGGATCTTTAAAGGCTTCTGGGGCAGATTCCTCAGGGATTTTGCTTGGTTTTTCTTTTGATAACTGATGATTAAGCATCTTTTTATTTAATTAAAAATAAGTAGATTTTAGCGAATTTCCCTATAGGGAAGTAGCTATTACCGTCGGTGGCTTGGTAAGACCTAGACCCGGGACCGATTTACTTTTTCATTTTGATGTCCCCAGAGGCCAAAAACACCATTCGTTCAAATTTTTATATATGTATATATATATATATATATATATATACTAGCTGACCCGGCGAACTTCGTATCGCCTAAGTTATAGGTTTCCCCTAAGACAGACCGATGGAAAGAAAGTACCGTTACGTTTAATTTTCAAGATGATCTCGTTCGCATCGCTCAATCACGTCCTGGTTGAAGTTCGTTCGCTACGCTCACTCACCTTTGGGTTGGAGCTCGTTCGCTACGCTCACTCACCTTTAGGTTGGAGCTCGTTCGCCGCGCTCACTTGCCTTCAGGTTAGCTCGTTCGCTACGCTAACTCGCCTCCAGGTTGAAGTTCGTTCGCTTTGCTCACTCACCTTTTGGTTGCAAATTAGCTGTTGTCATAAATGTAAAAGAAATAATAGTGCTGCACCCTGTTGGTAATCCTTGTAACTTTAATGCTATTGAACATCATAGAACAGAACCAACTTGTTTAATTGAAACAGCTGTTAAGATTCATTAATTCCATTTCTCATAAGGTTAACATGGGAAACTCCAGAGCCACTGGGGCGGAGCCCTTTTAAGAATTTCGAAACGGGAAATAGTTTACGTCCGATTCGCATACCTACAGAATTTACACACCAAATTTCATAACGATCGGTGAAGTCGTTCCGGAGGAGTTTGCAGACAAACACTGTGACACGAGAATTTTATATATTAGATATATATACGTCCGTGAACGCGGCGATAACTTGAGTAATTTTTGTCCGATTTTGATGAAATTTGGTTTAAAGGTGTAAAGTGAGATAAACTTGAATGAGTTCGCGAACCAGCACGATCGGACCATGGGAACGGTGCTTTACGGGGGGTTTTATGGGGTAAAAATTGGTTTTTCTCACTTTTGACCCTCAAAACAAAAAAATTTCCCGATTTCTCTTTAGACCTTTTTAAAGAGCTTAAAAAAACAAATAATTTAGTATATAAAAGTATTTTTGTTCGATTATTAGTAACGGAGAAAATTAAAAAAATTGTAAATTTAAAATTCCCATGTTATTCTTATGGAGAATATTGTCAAATGTTGTAGTTTGCTTGTTTATGGATATATTTTGATCAAACTTGGCAAATTTATTTATTTTGTACTAAGCTATCAATATTTTACTCAAAAACACACTTTATTAGTTTCCTTGTAGCAGCAAACCTAGGTACTCGTTAAACCTAATGTTATTAAAATATATTTGACCGAAAATCAATTCAGACAAATGGAAATTCGCTTAGTCGGCAGGTTTGCTGCGGCGGGGGTATTATTTTATTGTATTTACAAAATATTAATTTTATCTTAACAGGTAACTCAATTTGTAGTTTCATAAATATTTAAAACTTTGCATTCCCCATTTGTTAGAATAATTCTCATGAAATGGTTTCATTCATTCATTGTAGTTAGTTAAGTAAACCACTCATAGATAGGGTAAGCTGCCAGGTTGGGTACAATGGTCATGCTGGACGGTCTCAACGGTTGCTTCAGTGGGCAGAGAGTGGATAGAGACAGAGACAGAATGTGACAATGTGCTTGGACTGAAGAGAAGATTTTTCACCATGTAGTCGTGAGTCAGACATTTATAGACATTAATTTCAAGGGTCATCAGCACCCCTTTCTCATTATTAATTAATTTTCCAAGGGTCAGCAGTATCCCTTTATTTTTAACAAACTTTTATTCAGTACAGTAACTTACAGTGTATACCTGTGCAATCAATCCTGAACAAGCTCCAATGGTATAATAGTCACTAACTGAGGCTAATAGAGCCACTGCAGCTCAATTCTTCTAATCATCTGTGGTCTAGTGGTCTTTGTGGTGGAGCATTGGACTTTCAATCTCAGAGTCCAGGGTTCCATCCTACCTGGCAGTTATATCTCTTTGCTCATTTAAAAATTGTTTAAATATTAATTGTAACATTTTATTTTCATTTAAGGGTTATTTCATTTTATTTGTAAGCATAATAGTTATTTTCTTTAATACATTTCATTTTGTCATAAATTGTGTTTTGTTATTTTTCACAGCAATCAAGTCTCAGGAATTAGTATAAAATTTCATAAGAGGTTAGAGTTAGGATTTTATTGTTTTAAAAGACCTTAAATTTCCTCTTTGGCCTCAACAACTCATCTATAGACTAAGACCTTTCTTTGGACACCTCTACCAAGTTTCTACGCCCAGCTGTTCTCTCAAATTATCGGGGACAAAGTTTCCAATTAAATATTTAGATTCCCCCATGTTAATCTTATGGGAAAAACTCCAACTTTGATGGCCTGTGGGGCAAAGCCCGAGGATTTTTATTACAGGAACATTGGTGAAAGGGGGCGTCTACACAAAAAATACTTTATTTTGACACGTCGTTTGTAATAATCCGTCCATTATTAACGGAGATATGTTTGGCCTAAAAACCTTTAGTGAAATACCAGCTTACATTTGAGCTATTGATTATTAAGATTCCGATCTTAATAATCCTACCTGAAGCACACTGAAACCTGTCAAAGTCGACAGTTACTGTTGAGGTTGCAATCAAGATCGTTTGACTATAAATCGATGATAAATAACTCCATTTTTTTAACAATTTGGGTTGTTCGTTATTTTGCAGTGTGCTTAAGGTACGTCCGATCTTAATAATCAATAAATCAAATGGAAGCTGGTATTTCACTGAAGGTTCTTAGGTCAAAACAAATAGAATAACGTAATTAGAATTAAGTAAATATATCTAAAACTAAATTTAAATTCCATATCCAATAAATAATCAAATTTATATTTTCTGATTGAGCGATACAGTATCTTGAACTTAACTGATTAAAACTATCAATATCTCAACACAACCCGCCACTCCTCTCCGCTCAACCTATCACTTGATTTTTGAGAAGCACTTTAGATTCTGCTTAGTTTCAGAGAAATATCGTAGTCCAGTTCCAAGCAAGACAACATTTATTTTGAGACGTGATAACAATCACTTCCAAAAATAATTTTCCCATTCACTAAACAAATTACCCGCAACTCGTGTCTACGCACAGGCCCTGCCTATGTAGACACATTTCCATATAAGTTGATAAGGTTTTTTTTTTCTTTGTGCCATTTAGTTATAATATTATTTATTTTGTAAGTTATTTTTAAGACAAGGATTAAGTAATTTATTATGTAAAATACCATGAACTGTATTTTCAGTTGGGAAATAAACATTATTTCATTTTTCAAACATTATTTCATTTCATTTCATCTCAAGTGAAAGCCTTTGAGGTATTTTAAGACCAAGACATATAAAATAATTTAAATAAAAATAGAGTTAGGTATCATTGATTGCAGATAAGTACTACGATTGTAATTATTGTTACGAAAAAGTAATTCGGTCCCGAGTCCAGGTCTTACCATGAGACCTACGGTTTAAGCTTATATAGCTTATACTTGGGAAATTCGCTAAAATAAAAACATAACAAATAAAATGCATATCTTCTAGTTTGTATGTAATCTTTTGGAGGAACTTATTTAGCAGCCTCATTAATTCAACTGATGATGGTGCACTGAATAGTTTCTTTAACAAACAAGGGAACTTGGTTTGCAGGCTTTGTACAATACCTACAGTTCCGGTACCAGCAGGGTGTGCTCTATCGTCTCAAGGCACTAGGGGAACGCCACAACATGGACATCACTATCGAGGGGTTCCACTCATGGATGTGGCGTGGCCTCAGCTTCCTGCTGCCCTTCCTCTATGCTGGCTACCTGTTCCAGCTCTACAATGCATACAAGTTGTTCACACTGGCCAGGCATCCTGACGCAACGTGGCAGGTACTCATCCCACGTAATGTGCCATTTGTCTTTCTAAATATATATTCTGCCATATATTGAGAGTTTTTGTTATTGTGAATATTATTGTGTGAATTAGCAGTGGTGTTGCATAAATGTACTTTTTAAACTATTTTGTTAACTTATTTTCTTGTAAATCTGAAAAATGTCCATAAAAGGATCTATGTGTACCACCGGAATGTGTTTTAACAGACAACAAAAGTGAAGGGTTTTCAACAGTAATGGTTTTTAATTATTTATTTGTGTGTCACACTCGTAGAGTAGAGGAATAGTGTCCCAGGAATAGTTCAACCTTGCGGCAGGATATTTGTTGTAAATATTTGTAATTAAAAAAAAGTTTACAACATTTCCAGTTAGCACTTACAACAAATGTCTTTTGGACCGTCTGTTGGTTGGCATAATAAATACAAGCATCTATTTTTTTATTGTATATAATGGTTTTGTTAGGAAAATAAGTTATATTCAGTAAATTTACAATGAAAATAAAAATAGAAATAATTTTAACTAGAATAGCTATAAAACAGAGAGGAAACCCTTATTTGCTTCATCGGGATACTTTAGCTATGATTTTAAGTGCCTTCTTTTGAAGCTTAAAAATCTTCTTACCATGGCAAGAATTTCCCCAGACAAGTATTCCAAATGACATTAATGATGAAAAATATGAATGATAAACTGTTGATTGAGTTTTAGTATCTGTAACTTAAGAAATCGTTTTGAGAGAAAAATTGCTGAAGAAAGTTTTTTCCGTGGTTTGTCAATGTGAGAAAGCCAACGTCAATGTAGGAAGTTGGATGTGAGACTTTTGTTTATATGAATACCCAAAAAATTGACTGTTTTCTCAGACATTAACTAAAGATTTGGAAAAGTGGTCTGTTTTAAACTATTTCTATGATCTAATCGAAAATTAACTACTTGAGTCTTGTCCATGTTCAAGGATTTAGGATTTCAAGGAAGGCCCATTTACTCTATACCAGTCACTTAAAAAAGCGACCAATTCTGTATCTACCGTGCTGCAGGGATTCAACATTAATATACAACAAGTAGTTTTCTGCAATTGCAGACAATCTTAACAACATTTTAATAAACATTTTTTGAAACGCCTCCACTTGCTCACTCTCATAACAGCCCCCATACTTGAGCACTATAACACAGGATTTACCTAATATCATTGTCAATCAAAACAAGTGACCTTAGCACTTAATGAAGCTGTCCTGCAGTTTACTAATTTAGACCAAACTGAATTAATTACAAATGTAGCTGTCTTTGAGTTTTCTTTAAAATGTGTCTCCCAGGATAAAGATTTAGTGAACAAAATGCCTAGATATTTGTATTCATTAACAATTTAAACTTAATGAAGCTGTCCTGCAGTTTACTAATTTAGACCAAACTGAATTAATTACAAATGTAGTTGTCTTTGAGTTTTCTTTAAAATGTGTCTCCCAGAATAAAGATTTAGTGAACAAAATGCCTAGATATTTGTATTCATTAACAATTTAAACTTAATGAAGCTGTCCTGCAGTTTACTAATTTAGACCAAACTGAATTAATTACAAATGTAGTTGTCTTTGAGTTTTCTTTAAAATGTGTCTCCCAGAATAAAGATTTAGTGAACAAAATGCCCAGATATTTGTATTCATTAACAATTTAAACTGGTTTCCCCTTATTCGACCATCTGCAATTTTGTCTCCTTTTCTAAACACAACAATTTTTGATTTTGTTTAATTAACTTTTAAGTTCCAACAATAACAATATTTTTCCAATTTCAAAATCATTAGTTGCAGAAAGGTTGCCGTAGGAGCTAAAAACACAATATCATCAGCGTACATTAACATGTTAATCTTTTTCAAACTAAACTCAAGAGGCGATAAAATACATCCTTGTTTCAAACCTATATTAGTGTCAAAATATGCAGTTATACCCTCCCTACACCAAACATCGATTCTGTCCCCGAATTCACATGTTTTATTGGTCTGAAACTGAAACTGCTTATGAGACATTGGAGAGCAAGTTGTAGATTAGGTGAAGAATGTCAGAGTTGACAGTGAACAGTTGAAACTCATGGCTTCAGTTCAGGGTGAACTGCATTAAAGCTTTGAGTTAAGACACATCTCCATTCAGGCCCCCAGTTTGAATGTGATGTGAGGTCGCCGGTTCGATCCTGAGAAAAGTCAGTAGCTGTTTGATGGTTCGAAACTGGACCCAGCTGTTCCTGATCATTGGGCTTTAAATAAATGATCCTGACTAATGAAACAGCTGATCTTAGTCAGTAACAAAGCTACACAGGTCATCACACACCATTCTACACTCATCCTTCACTCATATATGGGTTAAAATACGCACCTAGGTGGCGTCAACGATTGATTGATTGCTATTGGCCCAAGCAAATTGTGCCCATATTCTCTTCCTAGCGCCCCCAACAAACCTAACCCCTCTTGCAACCTTGGGCACCCCCTCCATTGCTATTTCATATATACTGAATGTTTTAAATGAAGGGTTTAAAAATCTAAGAATTATTATTGATATTATTACTAGTTGAGATAGGGAATATATACACATACATATATATACATATACATATATATATATATATATATATATATACACATACATATGAATTTGAACAGAGGGTGTTTTTGGCCTCTGGGGACCTCAAAACAAAAATACCCCCGTCGCAGCAAACCTGCATACTAAGCGAATTTCCATTTACCCGGCTTGATTTCTACTAAAATATTCCCTATAAATTTTCAGATTTATTTCCATTTTTAAATAACATTAATTTTAGTGAGTACAGGGTGTCCACATTCTGGAAAGTCAGGGATAGTCATGGAAAGTCATGGAAAAAAATTCTGGTCATTGAAAGTCATGGAAATAGGCAAAAGTCATGGAAAGTCATGGAAATCCCCAATGATGGATGGATTCCAGGGGACCTTTCAATGCTCTAGTGGGTCGTAACCCCAACTATTGTAGCATTTTCCGAATTTTTCACAAATGTACGCCAATTTCAATTTATACAGTTGTCTTAGTTTATGGGTTTTGAGTTTGTATTAGTTCATTGTTGTACCTATTGTACTCCATTGTTATCTGTTATTACATATTTCAATATTTTCTGTGAAATAACTTGTCTAGGCAGTATTATTCGTGTGTATACGGTATATTATAATTTTTGAGTTAAGTTCGTGAGTCATGGAAATCAATGGTTAATGGTCATGGATAGTCATGGAAAGTCAGGGAAATTAAAGACAAAATTTCTGTGGACACCCTGGAGTAGTTAGGTTTGTGTTACGGGAAGATGTTGAGGTGTGTTTTTTCAATTGAAATATTGATAGCTTAGTATGAAATAAACCAAATTTGATTAAAATATATCCATAAACAAGCAAACTAGAACAGTTTATTTATTCTCCATAAGAATAACATGGGAATTTTAAATTTACAATTTTTTAAATTTTCTCCGTAGTCAATGAACATTAAAAAACACTTCAATATACTAAATTATTTGTTTTTTTAAGCTCTTCAAAATGGTCTAGAGAGAAATTTAGAAATTTAAAGTTTTTAGGGTCAAAAATGAGAAAAACCCATTTTTACCCCATAAAACCTCCCATAAACCCCTGATCCCATGGTCCGATTATGCTGGTTCGCGAACTCGTTCGAATAAATGTAGGTTTACACGTTTGTACCAAATTTCATCAAAATCGGATCAATTTTGCTCGAGTTATCGCGCTAACGGACACATATATAAATATATATATATATATATAAATATATATATATATATATATATATGAATTTGAACGGATGGTGTTTTTGGCCTCTGGGGACCTCAAAACGAAAAAGTAAATCGGTCCCGGGTCTAGGTCTTACCATGAGACCTACGGTAATAGCTTATTCCCTATATGGGAAATTCGCTAATATTCCCTATATGGGAAATTCGCTAAAAGTAAATCGGTACCGGGTCTAGGTCTTACCATGAGACCTACGGTAATAGCTCATTCCCTGTATGGGAAATTGGCTAAGAACCAGTAATAAATTGTCCCCGGAAAAAAATATTACGGAAAGAATGAGAGGATGCTAATAAACACTTCTTTTTGGCCAGACAAAGTATAAAGACATAAAGTATAGCGTAGGTAAGATCTCAGATTTAAGTGATTCTGTTTTGAAAACGCATGGAATGTGTTCAGATAATGGCAAGCAACCAGCCTGAAAAGATTTCTAAAATGTTCATTTTGAGGAGCACTGTATCAGGTTATGCGCAGAGCTTAAGAGTCACTGTGTTCTGAAGCTATATTTGACTTGAACTACTTTTTAAACTAATTTTCAATGTCTTAGGTTCCAGTGTTGTCTGCACTTTTCTTTTTTCTCTTCCTTGGGAACACCATTACTACTTCAATGGTTATTCCACAGAAGCAAAAAGAAGCTCAAAATCTCTCTAAACCTCAGGTAGGTTTCAATGTAGTCTTGGAAGTATCTTGTTGGTGACCCACTGATAGTAGAATGGTCTTTATGTCTTTCATTCATACTCATTAAATCCTAGTAGAGATGTTAAATAAAAATCCATCAATAAATTATATTTTATTTATAGTTGTTAGTGCAAACACACTTTTAAGCCTGCAACATTCATAAAATCATACAGTAGAGTCCTGCGATTCTGAAACCGAATATTTTAAAATTATATAAATCTGTTTGTTTCAATTTTCCTCTAATCCAAACAGGTTTTTGTCCCAATCAGTTTGGAACTGCGGTACTCTACTGCATCCATACATACATTTATCTATACATAAACACAGCAATAAAAAAAAGATTAAAAAAAAATATTGAAAACTATATCCAGTTACCCTTTTATAACATCAGGCCGGACATCAATGATGCCTTCTAACAATAGGCCAACAGTTGAAAAAAATAAAATAGGGGTTTGTATTACTCCCATTCAAAATGCCTCTGGTGCTGATGGAATCAATAAATGAAATAGAAATATAATAGCCTCTCAAACTTTGTTATAGCTGTTTTTTGTATACATTAATTATATTTATATGTAATGTGTTGTTTTTAAGTAGGAAAATAATATTGTACTACTTATAAACTTTTACACAGAAAACAGTCTGTGACTTAAACATTAAAGTAACAATTAAAGCAGAAACCACTAATATATTTTACTGTTTTAACTTTCACTTCCAAAATGAATAAAAATGACAAAACTAGGAACCAATAAATACAAGGTGTTTTTACCAATCAAATAGGTCTCTATGGGCTGTTTTGAACAGATTTGGAAATATCATACATTGTTTTAAGCTGACATTCCTACTGAAGTACTATGAATGTACTTCATTTATATCAAAATACGTAATTCATTTCAGCATACAGTATCTAGTTAACTTTTAAAGCAAACTTAGTCTTCAATAAAATGACGGTAAGGATTCTGGAAATTAATTAATACTTCGTTTTCTTCTTGCAGGTGGTGGAAGACTCGAAGAAAAAGGATGTTCCCAAGAATAAATGAAACATTTATTCATTTATAGGAAGAACGGGTTAATTTATTAATTTTATATTTTTATTTTATTTATGTAAACATTATATATATACATAACAAATCATGGATGTAAGTAATAGATTTATTTATTAATATATATTTTGTGGATATATTATAAATCTCCAAAAACATTCCATTTCCTAACTCCTTTCTAAACTCAGTTTTAGCACACCAGTAATAAAAGTAAATTTTCATGCTAGTGAAAAAAATAATATTATTTTGCAGCATCAGAAAACAAACACATTTGCAATGTTGTACACCTGATCTCGCACAAGTACTTAAAGGGATGCAAGTATGCACATGAATGTGTTTTTCCTCTATTTACCATTTACCATCTATGTCTTCTCCGCTGTCCTCGTAGACAGGGGAATCGTCAATTTCTTGTGATTGTGTATTTGTGTGTGAGTGTAATTGAGCGTTGCTTTCCTATTTATTGTTTAGGTTATATTTTGTGTTCGTTAATAAAGTAAGGTAATTTATAATATGGTCGTTTAATCAGGTATTGTTTGAGTTGTTTTTTTTAAGTTTTATTTTCACTTATTTCTTTGAGTTTTTTTTGGCAAAAGATTAAACATTTTGATCTCCATGTTGTTTGGAGATTTGTTGGTTTTGTTTAGCCTAAGGAACCCTAACTCAAGGCCACACTAAAAAATCAGGTCGTAATGCTAGTTAAGCATGACGTCACGATAGAAGACGGCTATGACGTAATGTTTTCCGTTTGTGGTCAGCTGCTTGTTTTAATATTTTCATGGAAAAAAATATAACCTTAATCAGACGAGACAACAGGCCAAAAATGTCAATAAGCTAGTAATGTATATGCTTATTTTTATTATTTTTATTTTATTTCATTTTTATTTTAGTAGTTATGCCTTCTACATGTTGTGTTCCTGGGTGTTTTAGTAATTATTCCAACCGAACATCTTTACATGTATCAAAATTTAAATTTCCAAAAGACAAGAATCTTAAACAGAAGTGGTTGGACGCAATTCCCCGAACAGACTTTACTCCATCTAAGAGCTCCTCAGTGTGTATATTACATTTCGATGACAAGTTTATTGAGCGAGAAGTTACCTTTACTCGACCCGACGGTTCCATTTGTAATGTCAAACGCGATCAGGTAAAATTGACACAAGATGCCTATCCTAGTCGTTTCCAGAATGTGACTTCTAGTTCAGCCACAGAACTACCTATTCCACAAAATGACCCACAAGCGATTGCAATCCAAAATGAGAAAGAGATAATCACCAAAGAAGCGGAAGATACTATTAATAACTTCAACGAACTCAAAGCTAATTGGAATCATAAATTTAAAATTACTACCGAAAATGTGTTTACAACTTTTAATAAAGAAAGTGCACATATTTTTCAAGTGATATCAACTGAAGATGACACACCTAAAATTGGATATTGTGTGGTAATACATAAAAAATTGAAAATAAGATCGTTCAAAAATGGGATTTTTATTAATGACAACCAATCGCTAAAAAATATAGTGTGGAATGGGAATATCAACAAATGGTCCCAACTACTTAGTGTGGTTACATTTATTTTTGGATTGGCACCTAATTTTAAAGTAAGCATTGAAAGCAACTTAAATGAGATCAATCGCTTAATTGACGACATTGCAGACAGATTTGAGGACAATAAAATCACGGACAAATTAATGTTTTGCAAACAACAACTAAAATTAGCTGTGAGAAAATATCCTACGGCTCAACGTTACTCGCGTGGTTTGCATCTATATTTTTCTCATTTCCTGGTGCTTACAAGAAAATTAGGCAATCAAATTTTTTAACAATGCCTCATCCTGTCTACCTAAAAACATTCACTTCTAAGCTTGGCATGGGGACATCTGGGATAGACAGTTCCCATTGGAAGTATCTGAGAAAAAAAGTTGAATTGTTAAGTGATGATGAACGGCTGTGTAATCTTTTATTAGATGAAGTTTATGTCAAACTGGAGTTGAGTTACCGAGGAGGTAAACTGGAAGGCCTCGCTTTAAATTCCAACCCAGAGGAAAGTAATGTGACTCTTGCTACTACTGTTCAAACATTTATGATCTCCAGTATTGTTAAGAAAAGTAAGGAAATCGTAGGCTTATTTCCCTGCAAAAACTTATCAATTCCCTATTTACATAAGACAGTGTTGGAAATTTTAAAAATGTTAACTGAAATAGGATATAAAGTATTTAGCATTATTTCTGACAATAACAGTGTAAATAGATCAATGTTTCAGTCATTGTGTGGAGGTAGTTTAAAGACATGTTTTAAGAACCCATATGACGAACATCAAAAAATATTGCTGCTCTTCAGGAAAAAAGTAGGGAAAAACAAACAGATGAATACAACGGGACAATAATGTTTTTACAGACTATCTTAAAATGGTGGAAAATAGTAAACGTTAAACACGTTTTCAAAGGGGATAGGTTTAGGGACCCAAATCAAGACGCTATTTTCAATATAAATGATGACACCATTTCATACTTAAAAGTTTTTCTCAATTGGGTAAACAAATGGAAAGACATGTCTTTTCAGGGGATTCAATTCAGGGGAAGAACGGTTTGGACAATATAGATTAATGAGTGGAGCTTGCTATAATATAAGTGTTCAACAAATTCTTGAATCTAAAAAGAAGCTAAAAGCTATTAGCATGATAAAGGCTTATTCCTCTCTGTACAATTGTGTTACCTCTTAGTGAAATGTTTAACTTTGAGTTGCCAGACACGGACATTGAATACATCTCTCTAAGCAGAGTTGAAGACATTAAGCTGTTTGAAAATGTGTTAATAGAGGCTAATGAAATTAGTGTTTGTGATCAAACTTTGTTAGGATTAGCATACATTGGTGGTTATGTATGTAAAACTGTTGGTAAATATGTTACCTGTGAAACGTGTAGGAATAAGCTTGTTTCAAGTAACAGCATTTCATCTCATGTAATTCCCCAAGAGCGAAATCACTATTTCAATATAATAGACAGGGGAGGACTGAAGTACCCGTCAGATACTATCATTAACATATTAGTAATAACATTCAAGGTGTTTACTCTTATTGGAGAGAGATACGAACAAGATTTTTTAAATTGTAATTTCCACAGGGGTTTAATAATAAATGTTATGGTAAATGCACTAGACATTTTTCAAAATGAAAAATGCACTGAATGTGATACAGTTTTCGGCCTACTTATATATAAATGTGTTTTTCATTTCAGTAATATCTTACTCAATAATTATCGTAAAAAGGTTACAGAGGAAAACTCTAAGAACACAGATAAACGATCTGTCATGAGAAGAAATGATAAAACTAAGTCAAACAAAAGAAGGAAAATTGAAAAACTTAGCTCATAAGCAGTGTTCGTCAACATTTAATTAATTCTATTGTCATCAATAAATCATATATTTTAACATTTTTATGTTGTTAATTTCTTTAAATATAGCCTACTATTAGTAGATGTTTATACACAGGTAATAGCATTTAGTTTTTAAAACAAAGGAGGTTTATTGGTAATACTGGAGACAACACTGCTTAAACATTTTTGTCGGAAAAGCGTACTGGCGTCGCTGGCGATTTTGTCAGGTTGGTAGGTACACTGGTGAGGTGACAAGAGAAGCTATTGAATGCTTGCAAGTGATTGACAGGGAAATTAGTAATCAATTTAGTTTCTTTATTATACCGATAGTGTTTCAACTTGGATTTTAATGGAAACCAACACTAAACCTTAAAATAATGAGAAATCTGGTCTATCAACCTTTGCTTCAGCTGTTGATTGTGGTTCATCGTCACAAGCCCTTCCTTGGTTAGATTACGAAGATTTTTCAAAGGTTTACTAAATTAACAAAGAGGAAATTACCTGATGTGATTTAAGATATGTATAGACTAAATGATAATTGTAACGAAAAAATCTCCATATAACATGAAACTTACATTGAAAAAAATAGCATAGTTTGCTCCTGGTAACAGCTCTTGTATAGGACTATTAATTTCTAGGCTATGCTATGGTTTAAGACGAATACCAAGTCCCAAGTTCAATTATTAGGAATATATCTGTTTAGTCCTTGCAAGAACAAGCCTACTATAGCCAACTTGTTACATAGCCAAGTAGACCTAAATACATGTTATTTTTACTTTACAAATTTCAACATGTTTAAATTAAAAGCCGATTTCAGGATAAGTTACTGGATACTGTTTTCTGTACCAACTAGGTTGAAGCACAATTTGCCCTATGCATAATGACAACAAAGGACGATTTCTTGACATTGAAAAGTGTTATTCATAGTACAAGTAACTTATCACTTAAAAGTTTATAGCAATGTCGTTTTTAACATTAAAAGAAAGGCAATAAACTCCAATTTCAGTAGGCTAGGCTCTGTAACACAAAAAATTATTTTTAAATAATCGTTTTACAGTTTTATTGGTCTTAATTGTTGATATAAGACATCTATGAATGAATCTATATTAAAGAAATAAAATGAGCTTTTAAAATATAGTTTGGTTGTATGTCCTTTGAACTTACTGAAATTTACATTTAAGATGCTTAAAAATAATGCAATATTTAAAAATAAGTACTAAATATGATGGGACACCGAACTATTTGGTTCTGTTGTTGTAATGTTAGGTTTATAATGCCAAAAAATTAAATACAATCTAGGAATAATTTGTTTCCCAATTAATGTTAGATACAATACCTACTGACATTTTTTTAATGTTTGTTCAGTAAAAATGTAGTTGCAATTAATTTTACATTTACCTAATGTGCGTGGAATAAAAAGTAACGTCTTTGGAAAAGTAGCTAAAATTGTAGCTGTTGCTACATTTCAATGTAGTTGTAGCTAGCTACTTTTGTGGAACTGTAGCTGTAGCTGTAGCTAAGCTACTTTTTTGGAAATGTAGCAGTAGTTGTAGCTAGCTACATTTTAAAAGTAGCTTCCCCAACACTGGTTATTTGCCCATAACTTATTTATTTGCAAACCTACTTCCTTATATTATTATATTTTTGGAATCCTCATAAAATTCTGAACAAAGTGGCTATTTTAAAATATTTGTAGACCTATAAATTATAACAATTTATTGAGCGCAAACATAAATTTTTTCATTTATTTTATAATTTTTGAGAAATTTTAACCC